AAGCATTCCTTTCTTAATCCTATTCACAACTTCATCTTGCAAACCACACTTTTCCCTCACACTATTAAGATTAATAACTAAGAAAACACTTGTTTCAGTATTTTTGACAATTCTACGCCTAAGGGGGTAAAATTAAAGATTAAATATTGTTTGAAATTCTGCCATGTTTTAATTGTGTCTTTGACAACACTACTCGTATTACAAGCTTATGATTAGAAGCTGTAACATGTACTTATTTAAGGCTTTTTGCATACTCCTCCCTAAACGTAAAATACAGGGATGAAAGCGCTAGGTGGAACGTAAATTATTTATTTAAGTTAAAATAATAATAATAATAATAAAATATAAAATGGCGTAGGGAACTGACTACCCCACCGCTCGCTGACGTAACAGTTAAGTGACAAAACTGCTACGTCAGTGCAGTCAGTCAGCGCCTTGCCAAGAGGTGTGTGCGCCGTGCCTCGGCAGAATTGAGGGTGCAAAGGTCCGTCTGTGCTTATGGCCGCACCATGAAACGGTGCCGGGCGTGGGCGTCTCCCGTTAATTGACGCCCATACAATGGATGATGGACAATAAAAGAGTGCGCAAAGGGCCGCTACCTGGAGGTCGCCAGGGCGCGTCTGGAGCTGGCGCTGGACGCGACAGCATGCGGGTCGCCAGCCAAGCGCGGGGGGCTGCAAGACCACCTAGTAGCCGCCTGCATCCATCATCCCCACCAGAGGACTTGGTGTCGGCTGGGTCTTCTCGAACTCAGCAAGCGGCACCCGCCGCTGGTGGAACATGTCGCATGCGTTGGACAAAAATGATGAACGCAAACGCATTGCGAGCGTATTTTAGGGCAAAAGGGAAAGAAACTGGAATGTTGGCGTATCGGGCTCGGATGCATCGCTTTTTCGTGGAGCTGAAGCCATCTGTTCATGTATCAGAGCAAAACCTGGCAGACCGAGTTCGGTACATCCTGCGCTCCAACATATTTGGTGACGCCGAACTCGAACGACTACGACGTGAGGCTGTTCCCTCATCGGATGAAAATGCTACAGCTGGTAATGCGACGCCACAAATTGCAGAACAATATGCACACGTCGATGCCGCCGCGGATTCTCCAGTTGTAGTTGATTCATACGATGATGGAATGGTCACCCAAGAACTAGAGCAGATGAGGAGTAAATTGGAGGAGGCGATTGTGGAAACGCGCAGTACGCCTCTCGAAAATCGACCGCGACTACCGCGCATACCCCTAAGCAAGCGGAATCGGGCTGTCGTGAGGGCTCTTAACCCAATGCTGGTGACCTATTTGGAAGCCAGCCGGGACCTTTGCGAGACGGACTCAATTCTTTTTGGCGCCGCACTGGCAGTTTGCCGTATTATTGGCGTCAAACTTCCCACGGTTGGACGCGCTACTAGACAAAGTAGCGCCATCCCAGCCTGGAGAAGAAGGATTGAGGACCGTATCGCAAAGGCAAGGGTCCTCATCGGCAGACTGATAAGCTTCAGGTCGGGCAATAATAGGCCGAGAATTGTGCGCACCGTCAGGATGGCGTTTGCTGGGACAAATATCAGTTTGTCCCAGCCGGATATAACGCAAAAACTGACGGAGCGCATAGACGACGGAAGCGGATTCGGCGATATACCGAGAGGTCGACACGGTTCAACCAGAATCGTCTCTTCCAGAGTGATCAAAAGAGGCTCTATGAATCATTGGAGCGACCAATGGTACGTGGAACGGGCCCAGCACCGAAACAGGCCGACACTATCGCATTCTGGCGCAGCCTGTGGTCAGAGCCCGTAAACCACAGCGAGGGCCCTTGGACGGAAGTTTTGGCGAGTCAGTGTGCGAATATTACGCCCATGGACCCCGTCATCATAACGCCGGATGACGTAGCTGAGGCGGTCCGTAGGGCCCCGGACTGGAAAAGTCCGGGACTCGACGGACTGCATCACTACTGGCTGAAGGGGTTCGTGGTGTGTCACGCTGTGCTCGCCCGACAGTTTCAAGAGGCTCTCGACCAAAAGTCGCTCCGAGCCTCTTCACTACTGGAATCACTCATTTGGTTCCTAAAGACCGAAATTCCACAGACCCAAGCAAGTACCGCCCCATAACGTGTCTACCTACCATATACAAGACACTAACATCCATTTTGAGCGCGAGAATCACTCGTCACCTGAACTCAAATTAGGTGATGTCGCGCGCTCAAAATGGATGTCGGGGCGGTGGTCGTGGAACCAAGGAACCACTTCTCATTGACGCGGTCATTGGCAAGGTGGTTAAACGCAACCGTCGGAACCTCTCCGCCGCCTGGATAGACTACAAAAAGGCATTCGACTCGGTGCCTCATACATGGCTTAAAAGGGTCCTCGAGCTGTACAAGGTTGACTGTAGGGTTCGAGACTTCCTCGGGCAGTGTATGGGGCAGTGGAGTACGATCCTTTGTCATCTAGGCCAGCGGATGACGGCTGCGGAGAACCACATAAGGATAAGAAGGGGTATCTTCCAGGACGATTGTTTGAGTCCAATCTGGTTCTGCCTCTCTCTAAACCCTCTCAGTACCTTACTGGAGGGTTGCGGGAGGTGATTTCAGCATCGAAAAGGAGGTACAAAAGTGACCCACCTTTTCTATATGGATGATCTCAAGTTATTCGCCTCCAGTCGCTCCCATCTTGTGGAATTGCTAAACATCACTTGTGATTTTAGCAATTCTATTGGAATGGAGCTGGAGACGGATAAGTGTGCGATCCTCCATGTCGAAAGGGGAAGGGTTGCTAACTCTGAGGGCATAGACTTATCTATGCCCATCAGCATAAGGACCCTTTACGAGGCTGAAACATACCGATACCTGGGTATGTCACAGAACATCGGTGTCGATGAGGCGGGTATGAAGCAGTCAGTTTGCGATGTGTTTTATGCTGGCTTGACAAAAATGCTTAACAGTCTTTTGTCGGGCGTTAATAAGACACACGCTTATAACGGTTGGATCATGCCTGTTCTCATGTATACCTTTGGCATACTCAGGTGGACTCAGACCGAACTGAACGCTCTGGACAGAAAAGTCCGCACTATAATGACGTCCCACAGAATGCATCATCCGAGATCGTCGGTAATGAGGCTGTACTTGCCGCGGAAGCATGGTGGGCGCGGCTTTTTAAGCGCGCTTACCCTGCAAAATCGTGAAGTGTGCAGCCTCCATAATTATTTTCTGGCGAGATCGGATGATCCATTCTATAGGGACGTTATTTTTTGTGATAAAGGACTTACTCCTCTATCCTTAGCCAACGAGCAATGGCAAGACCCGGCAGTACAGAGCATTTCCGACTGGGAGACTGTATGGAAGGAGAAGGAGCTCCACGAGAGGTTCTACAAGGCTCTACGTGAGCCTTTTGTAGATACAGTTGCCTCCCTCCACTGGCTAGGTTTTGGTGACCTCTTCGGGGAAACCGAGGGTTTTGTCTGTGCAATACAGGATCAGGTTGTTAAGACCAACAACCATCGGAGATACATCCTAAGGGATGGCACCGTCGACATTTGTCGAGCTTGTCGCCATCCCGGTGAATCACTTAGGCATGTCACCTCCGGTTGTTCGGCGCTTTCTAACTCTGAGTACTTGCATAGGCACAACCTAGTAGCCAGGATTCTACACCAGGAGCTCGCTCTGAAATACGGTCTCGTGGATCGGGAACTGCCTTATTATAAGTACATGCCGGAAGCCGTGCTCGAAAATGACCGCGCCAGGCTCTACTGGGACCGGGCCATCATCACAGACAGGACCATTCTTGCGAATAAGCCTGATATTGTGCTGATGGACCGGGCACAGTCAAGGGTATTTTTGGTCGACATTACCATTCCGTATGACGAGAACCTCGTGAAAGCCGAAACAGATTAGCGAACAAAATATCTGGACCTGGCTCACGAGGTGACCGACATGTGGGGTGGACTGCCGGCCGAAATTATACCTGTAGTCGTTTCTGCGAACGGGTTAATCCCAGTCAGCCTCTCGGGTCATCTGAGGCGACTGGGACTCCGTGACGGACCGCTCCAAGCTCAAATGCAGAAGGCGGTGCTCCTCGATACCGCCCGCATCGTCCGCCGGTTTCTTTCCCTTTCCCCCTAACCCTCGGCCGTTTGGTCTCCCCTGCCGAGGGCTTCCATCTGGTTGGGTTTTTATTTATTTATGTATTTTTTATGCATTTATTCTATTTTGTTGATATTTATGTATGTTTATCATTTACATTTACAATTATATATTTATACAGCCCAACCAGATGAGTAAACTATATAGATGCCCCAAATAATAATAATAATAACACGATAATGACACGAAATATGAAGGGATATATATGAGTTCCAAGTAAATAAGCTCTGAGTAAATTTTTTATAGGAAAAAAGTATTTAGCGCGACGAATATGTGGAGGGAAGGAGTTCCACAAGCGTACAGCTGTAACAGAAAATAACTCATTGAAGCAGGAGGATGAATGTACGGGAGTACGAAAAGACAGATTGTTAGAGTGGTTTTACACCGTTAGGCTAACTTAAAATCTGCGATCATTATCATTCTGTATATGTATAATGTGATCTCAATAGTGTGGGTCCGAAAATCGGCCAAAAAATGAAAAAAAGGAAACAAGCGAAAATCTAGTAGTTATATAACCTTAATAAACTGATTACATTCTATTGAACTAAGGCCTCACCAATGGCCACCACGCTTGTCAACCGGAGTTTCTTATTACATATTTAGAGTTTGCCTCCGTTGCTTCTTATTCCACCCACGGGATGATATTGGGTAGTGAATTCACTTACGCTATCACTACACGATATAAAATACGTATTTACTAATCAAGGGACGAAATTGGTATAAAATCACAAAAATCCGTTATTGCTAAATCCAGCTTTAGAATACTGAACAATCATATAAAAAACATGCGTGTTGAATATATAACCTTCTCCTTTCTTGAATTCGGTTGAAATGATTTGATATGATATTAATACACGATTATCTTTTTTTTAGCTAATTTGCTCCGTGAGAACCAGATGGAGGAACATATAGCACAGATACAATCTCATTTGCAGTTCCTCGATTCTTTATACAGAGCAAGACAAGAAGACTTGATTGCTTTGCAAGTAAGTGCTATTTTTAAATCTGCTACAAAACATTTAATAATATTCAAACATTAGGAATGTTTGAATATTTTTAAATGTTTTGTATCACACAGTGTTTTATGTACTGAAAAGCCTTGGACCTCTTTGTACGATTTATTTTAAAAAGGTTTTCTTACTGCAGCGTGGCTCTAGCACGTGATAAAATAAGGGAGATGTATTCGTAATATTATGACATAAACATCCGCTCCTCGTACTCCGGAACAGCAAATTATATTTAAGATCTTTTGAAATAAGATTTTTTTTACCATTTGACTTTTTTGTTGAATAAATGCTACCTTTTCTTTTATATCATGACAACAAATACAGTGAAAAGTTAATTGGCCTTATGACGTTATTCTGATATATAAAAATCAATGTTTTTGTTCGTATTTTATGCGCTGCCATCAGATTGCGGTAAAACTTGTCGCTTGTTGTCAACTTGCTGCTAACAGTTCACCCGTTAGTAAATAGCTGCACTTCGGACTCACGCTAACAACTTCAAACAAAGAAGATCACCTCGAAGAAGTAGGATGACATTCTTCACGACCTTTATTACACTGACTCTACATCTTCTTCTTTCCTGCAAAACAAAAGTGACTACATTTCACCTTAGCTGCTGACGTAGATAAAAGAAACTGACATTTAGGCATCTTTAGTTACTTGTAAAATAAGTGTTCGTATTTTTATTTTACAAATTGTTATGTTATATTTGGGAGAAATAAACAAATTGTCTTTTTGTAGAGTAAGATCCTTGCTGGTCGCAGTAACAACACTCCGCACCAACAAATGACGTCTCCATTCTTCGAAGCTTATGCGACGTTGATAACGCCAGAGCTTATGGTCATGTTGAAAAACCTGACGGGTATGACTGTATGACATATTAGGTGGAATTGTGTGTTTTTTAGCTTTAGAACTTTTTCTTTGTATATATCTTCGATTTTATTTAAATATTTTTTTATAAGGCCGGCCATATACATACGGAATTCCGTTTCGTGATTCCGTTTCGGAATCCCGAATCGTGATTCCGTGAATACATCACACACACACGTTTTTTTTCCGTTCGGAATAACAAGGGTCAGTTGAGAGACGTTAGCCATTGAGTCTAGACATTCTGCCAGCGAATAATGACGACGATTTTCTAATTGCAAATTCCATTGTTGCTGTATCATTCTTACTAGGTGCATCCCCTTATCACCCTAAGCTTGCAATATAGTCAATACTATGTAAAAAGATCTATCTATCCAGAGATATTTTTTAAATATTTATGTATGTAAATTCTATCGAGGAATTATGAAATAAAATAAGATGAAAGGTTACGAAAAGCTATACACCTACAAGATTAAATGTAAAAACATACATAAATACACCTACTCGCTTCGGTCGTGCGACGAACACTGAGCGCATTCCGTACGGAATTTACGTATGTGTGTTGCGACTCGTACAAAATCTATGGAAGACGTGCGTTCGGAGCGGCTTTTTTCCGTTCGGGATCCCGAACGCACAGACGATCATACGGAATCTCGAATCGGAGAAATTCCGTACGGAAAAATAACGTACGTGTGTGGCGGGTCATAGATTTTATATGGACTTGCTGCGTTCGGAATCCCGAATCGGAATATCGAAACGGAATTCCGTATGTATGTGGCCGGCCTTAATTCGTGAAATATGGACACCGTTACTGTAAACAGGGAAATGTTTTTTTTTATTTTGCAACAACAAATAGAATAGTAAGATTTTATATTAGATTAGAGCTTACTTTATTTTAGAATCCAAGTATTTCATATTATTATGTTTATGTATCCCAATAACAATAAAATACCGGTCTGGAGCCGTCGAGCAAACTGCTTAAATAGCCTGCAAAAAGCGTCCACTGTTGAATCATGGCAATTTTTGAAAAGAAAATTCGCGATCACTTTGCGCTGCTTTCGTCACCGATCGGTATTATCAATTCCAAAATTACCGCATCCGCAATATAATAATCATTGATTGTATTGATATTATATTTTATAATACCAGATATTATGTTTTATCTTTAATGATTGCATGAAATTTTAAAAAGTACTGTTTATAATATCATATGCATATTTTCAATTTATGTTGGATTATTATTATTAAAATTAGGAAATGTAAAGATGCGAGTGTAAGCGTTCATCATTGCTAGCGTCATAATATTTTCTTTTTGGAGGCCTTACAACAATAATTTATCTTATTGTCTGTTCCAATCAACATTTACGATGAATGTTAATAATATTAATTCCTTTTTAGAAGAAATTCATCAAAAAATACAAATATATTCTAATGCTAAATTCCCTAAAATAAATAATATAATATTAATGGAATCAAACCATTTACTAAAAGACAGAAAATTTAAAACTTTTTAATAAGAAATTAAATCAAATAATAAGAATTCAATGATATTTAATCATTCTAAATGAAAATTTTGTTGAGACAAGCGCTACATTACTCAAAAACATTTTGCATAAAAGCAAATATCGTCGATTTTTGTTCACTAACCTGTTTAATGTTAATGGAATAGTGTTATTGCTAACTATGTAATGAAGGTATGAAATAAATCGAATCATTTTGCTATCTTAGCTGCTATTGTTTAACTATTCTTTACTATTCTTTGACTGGCCTGTTGGTCTAGTGGTTAGTGACCCTGACTGCTACGCCGGAGGTCGTGGGTTCGATTCCCACCCAGGACAAATGTTTGTGTGATGAGCACGATCATTTGTTCTGTGTCTGGGTGTAATTTATCTATAATATTTATGTATTTAGCAATATATAAGTATGTTTATCAGTTGTCTAGTACCCATAACACAAGCTCTGCTTAGCTTGGGACTAGATGGCGTTGTGTGATAGTTGTGGAATATTATTATTATTATTATTTACTCATGCTGCTACAGCGAATTCTGTAATCATAACCTCATCATTCATTTTTAACAAAAATATACGAATGCTAGGTCGCGATATCGGCGAAATCATAAACTAGACTTATCTCCTACATTCGTTTATTTTCCTTATCCAAATTTATTCGTTGCATTCAGTGAACGCAAATAAAAGTTATAGCGCATTGCTTTGCTTTTAAACTCACAGCTGGCGTCATTTTGTATTTTAAATTTATTTCATTTCTACGTTAGCATGAAATGTATTTTCTGTTTTTAATTTTGCTGTGTGATAATGTGTTCATTGAATATGTAAATACAAACGCTTCACCTCGCCCTTGATGCAACCGACGAGCTGTATAATATGAAATTACCGTCTTACAAACTCGCCGCTAATTAAATTACCTGTACATAGCTTGCGGTAAAACGATACAGGTTTCTATGTGCAAATAATATAACAACCGTACGTATAAATTTTGTATATGAATACGATGTAAGGACCGGAAATTATTCACATCTTAACTTTTTCTATTACTTACAATACATTCACTGCCAAATATTGTACTCTCTCTCTCTCCCTCTCTCTCTCTCTCTCTGCCTCTCTCTCTCTCACTCTCTATTGAAGACTCATTTATATAAATCACTACGCTTGATTGACACGTTGGCGACAGGTTGATGATTATACCTACTGATGCATAAGAGACTGGGAAATTTTCAGATTTTCAGTCTACTCTTACAACAACCATAGAATTAGATGGAGCGATGGATTATCTTCTGCCGTTATTACACTTAGTGGATAGGTGTAGATCTGGGTCAAATATTGTTAATAAGTGCAATCGCAATTGACTTTATGTAAGCTTCGAAGTTTTGTAATTTAGGTATGTAAGTGTGTACTCATAAGTAGTAGGAGTGTGCGTGTTTTATTCACCACTAGGTAAGCCTACGGTAAGTTCATATGTATTTTCGGATTTATTTAGAGAGTAATCCGAGATATTATGCTGAAACAAAAACTATTTGGTCCCACAGTTGATTTTGTACTGTGTAAATTTCGTGGCGATCAGTTAGTGTGTTTGCGCATTGCACCCAATCCGAATCCGAGAAATGTTGATCCAAAGTATCCGTAGTACAATTTTTATGAAATCTTGCGCACTCTTCCGAATTGAATCGGAGCTATCACGCGGATTTTGGCGGTAGCGCGGGGAGAAGAGAGTGAGGGAGCCGGTATTGACCGTATCGATACTTTTTGATGCACTACGTCCACTCTATACGTAGTGAATATATACTCTTTGGATAAAGCACGCTCTACTTGTTATCGTGTTCCCCTACGAACCTACGATGCTTTTACTTTAATTGAGTGTGTCGAAAATAAACCCTGTTTATGAGACCAATCGATAGATGACCACGGAAATAAGTTTTGATAAGGAATGCGCGGATAGAAATTATTTTAAAATGTCTTGCTATTTTGCCTTAATTCACCATGATTATTCTAGTATACTTCTCTGAAAAGTCAGTTCACTAAAGTAATTTGTATTGAAAACACCTTAGTTCTCGGCTTCTCGAGTTCTCGGACCAGTCGCGCATTGGAACCAGCAGAGGAGTGGAAATATTTTCACAGCATCTGTCTTTCAATCGAATTACAATATAGATGTCAAGACAAGAGTGAACAGGCTTATATTTGCTAAGTCACTGCGCTTTACCATCTTCGGCTGCATCACCATTATTCATTAAAACACACACACACACAACACACACACACACGCGCACACACACACACGCGCGCACACACACACACACAGAGAGAGAGACACACGCACTTTAATTTGCGTATTGTTGGCGTATTGTTTTAATAATTCGAAATTGAGTTTAAATTTATCAATAACAGCGAGCTAGCTTGATAGTTTTTGTAGCACTTCAATACATGACTTTTTTGGTCTACAGGAACAAAGGCAGCCATGGGTATGCAACCGAAAAATCTCCAGCTTTTACGTACCCCCTTCGTGTTTCAACTGCTTCCACATCTGATGAATGATCCATTTAGCCTTCGTCCCTCATACCACATGAAATCCGGTCGAGTATTTGTCGATGTTGTTATAGGCATACCGACCGTCAAACGTGATAAGGAAAGCTATCTTATGATCACTCTCACAGTAAGTAAATAAAATATTTTTATTTATCGTTATTAAAAAGGAATAGTTTATTTTTATTTTGTTATTTTGAGGTAGATAAAGAACTCCGGAAAATGAGATATATAAAATAAAATCCCTACGAGGCATTCTCTAAAGGAGGCCTATGTTCAGTGGTGGACTTTTGATAGATTGTGGTGATAGTGATGATGTTTCTACTGGCAACTGTGTCAGAAGTAAAATCTTCTTTAAAGGAAAATCTTGTTGGAGAATTTGTGCTATTTTGTTTTTTTTTTAGAGGTATCGCATGTTTACTTTAGAAAATATTCATGGGTTTCTTGAAAATTCAAACGTATGTAAAAATGTAAAACGAATCAAGATACGGACAGCAGCGTCTTCTTAACAACGACTAAAAATAAAAATAAAACTGTGGTTTCCAACCCGCTTGTCAAGCGTGGCACATAAGGCAAATATCCCTCCTATAAGGCAATCTAAGGGGGAGGCCTATGTCCAGTAATAGACTTTAATATACTGTAAAGGTAACGGTTAAAATGTCAATCGGTTATCAAATTAAATTGGTTAATTAGCTTTAAAATGTGAATAGAAATTTCAGCAACCTAATTTTACGATTATTGTAGTCATGGGTCAAACTTCAGTTAGTTGTCTTTAAATATAGAGACATTGATTTAAAAAGATATTCTTTCAAATTTTCTTGATGTTCGTACAAATAACACATTAGTACTTTTAATTTGATCGGTAAGCAACCGGGGAATACAAATCTTCTATCAAAAACACAACTCTGAAAAAGTATTCAAATTAACGATTTTTTATAGAAACAGGGTGACAAACGAGCGCACAGTCCATCTGATGGTAAGTGGTTGCTGTGGCCCATAGGCACCTACATCTATCCTCGTTTGCGAATCAAAATGCAGATGCGTTGTTAGCCTTGAGGACAAAAATGGAATGCCTCTTTTCCAGAAAAAGGGTCTCCGGTCCTCTACACTCACCATACGAAATACAGCAGCATTAAGCTTCTATTTTACGCTGGTATTCTGTGAGAGCGTGGTCCTTCCCCAGTCGAACCGACCTATTTGTGCTGCAACCACAATATACCTGCAGCATGGCTCTACCACGTGTAAAAAAGTTTATTTTTATATCGTTATTTCTATAATTAATATATTTTTATTTCAAATGTTTAACGCAGCACTTGATCAACGGCTTAAAAAAAGATGAACTCAATTCCACTCTCATCGTCGTTTTTATCGGAGAAACGGATTTGGAATATGTTCTAAGCACAGCCAGACAAATTGAAATCATGTGAGTATGACTTCCATCTGTTGTCACTAGGATTGGGCTTGATACTGTTCAGCGTTAATTAAAAACAGGTAAATAACTTTTAGCGCCATCTGTTTTCTAAAAGAAATACGCACTGTTAAACACGATTCTACGGAAACAATCTTCCGTATTTATCGAAAAAATACGAAAAAATTTACTTTGTTTAATATTGACCAAACAAAGTAACAAACTTTACAACTCACGATTTTCAGTATTATAGTTGTCGTGCACTTAAATTAGAAAATGAACTAAAAAATTACTAAATTGATAGAGCGCTACGAATGCCTGGCGAGTTTTAAAAGCAATTCTAATGGGGGAATACAAACAGTTATTAACTCTTTGACACCACATTAATAAATTAATTCAAAACTGTCGTTTTTCTTATTAAAATGATTAGAATTTTTATTCTAAAACAAAGAAATATTGTCTCAGATGAACATATGCAAAACACCAAGTCTTAATAATAGTTAATAGTTTAATGCGATTATTTTATAGAACACTTTTTAAAAAATTGTCTATCGTGATAACAAAGAGAGAATATTGTGTAGAATTCTGAAAGCAGTTCCAAAATTAATTAGTGACAAAAATAATAAGTTCCTGTAAAATTTTAATAGCAATCTTCTCCCCTATTGAAAAAACTGGGCTTTCAATCTTGAAGGTCTTCTTGTTTTAGAAGGGACATAGGCGCACGATAGGTCAGCGAATGCATCCTCTTGTTGTATTGACGTCTGCTACTATCGAAACGCTGTCTGAACCCAGAAAAAGTCTTGCTACATGCCCCAGACGCCAGCATAAAGGTGTTATCAAATCTTCTTTGATCAGGACTAGATTGTTTTTAGCCGTTTCCCACTTTGTTCTTAGATGCAATTCCGATATATATTTATTTTGCCACTTCTGCCAAAAATGCTGCCGAATTCGTTCTTATCTTGCGTGGCTTTGTGGAGCATGTATTTTCCTTTGCATTGAGAAGATTTGAAGATGGTAATGCAGTTAGTTGTATTCCTATGAGAAAGTGCCCCGGGGAGAGGTAATCGTTTGAGGAAAAGGAGTATTAGGATGAGAAGTACTTTCGCAGTATTGTGGTTGGCTTCAGCGGAGCCACCTTCGACTTAGCACATAGAAGTTTGACAAATACGTTTTTATTTGCGTTTGCGGATTTGACATAAACACAAGATCCATAATTTGTCTGTGATGCATCACTGAATACATGAATTTCTACAGAAGTTGGCGCATCACAAATAACTGTTCTTGGAATCTTAAATCGTGATAAAATAGGTAGCGAATCTACAAAGCCTTCCCAAATCGGATTGATGTTTGATGGAACTGGCTTATCTCAGTCTAGTTTAAGCTACTAAATTTATTGTAATAGAATTTTAAGTACAATGACACATGGACTTAGAAGACCCAAAAGGGGTCAAAGATCTTAAATGCATTGGACGTGATAGACCTCTTAGTAGCGTGTAAGTTTGTAGGGGGGGGGGAGGGTTATAGGAAGGTATAAGTTATCATTATAATCCCTATAACCACCCCGATTGGAGCGTGCTTGAAGATTCACTAATCGTTAAATATTACTTTTAAGTTCAGAATTGTTGAATATAGAAGTTAAATTTGTTTTGTATTTTCTCAAATGCAAACATGCTTTATTGAGCTTGCTTGAGACTGATTCTTGTATATATTTTTATTTTATTTTTTTCAATGTTAGAACTAGTTATCAAGTCATCGACGTAAAAATCCCTCTGTATAATAATCATTATAGCTTCGTATTTGCATTCTTCACCCACCTGCCAAACTCATCGAGTACTCAAATAATTCGCACTTGCAGTACCGTAAGTAAGAGTATTTAAGCGCAATGATTTTATTGGTTGAGACTCATCTTCCCTACATAAAATGACCTTCGTATTTGCATTCTTCACCCACCTGCCAAACTCATCGAGTACTCAAATAATTCGCACTTGCAGTACCGTAAGTAAGAGTATTTAAGCGCAATGATTTTATTGGTTGAGACTCATCTTCCCTACATAAAATAAGTTGAAGGTCTCGATCTTCCTAATCAACATACAACGTATATCTGACGGTACATTTTTTTCGATATCAGTTGTCATGAAATATTTGCATTGGCGGGCTCTTACAAGAATGGAAACTGGCCTACTCTAAGGATGTCGTTTAATGAGTGGCCAAAGGAAGAGGGAGCTGATCCATCGAACACTATTCTAATTTTTGTCGACTATCTTTTTATCGCTATCGGTAACTGCTTTAAAAACTGCATGATGACAAAGACGGTAGTTAATAACAGGCCTTGACACCATCGATATAGCGAGATGACCTAAATTTGCGTACTCTTGCATAAATTGTGAATATTGTAGTTTAAAGTTTGTGTCTTTTCTAACCGTTTCTTTAAGTTATACAATCGTTTTTTGGCTAAATTGTATAAGTTTCAATATTACAATTTGAATATAATTGAATATTAGAATCAATTTTATTATAATATTATAATTGTTGTGCATTGATTGTATTTTTGCAGCACATGATTTCTTAACTGTACTTAAAGAGCTGTTTCCAATACTAATTACATTTAACTGAATACAAATAGCATGTATAATTACTTATATATTATATATTTTTTTATAGGATAAGGGTGACAAACGAGCACACAGTCCACCTGATGGTAAGTGGTTGCTGCGGCCCATAGACATCTACAAATCAAAATGTAGATGCGTTGTCACCCGTGAGGACTAAGATGGAATGCCTCATTTACAGTAAAAAGGGTCTCCGGCCACCTGCACTCACCAAGCGAAACGCAGAGGTAAACCTCTACTTCACACTGGTTTTCTGTGAGGTCGTGGTACCACCCCGGTTCGAGCCGGCCCATCCGTGCAACAGCAAAAGATGCCACGTGGCTCTACCAGTGTTAAAAGAGCTTAGAATAGAGCTTAGAATTTTATAATTGCTTACTTATAAATGATGACTGACTGCCATAGTCTAACAGCACAAATCGTCTCTAGTTTATTCATCAAAAGATTAATTACCTTGATAAACGCTGTTGACAAAAGTATATGATTAGTGTCAGGATTGCAAACATATAGATCATAGATTCATTACGTGTTTTGTCGCTATCGCCGTTCTGTGTATTATTGATATATTTGATCTGATCTAGATTTTGGAGTATGTAGAAGAGTATTATGTTTCTTCTTACATAGTCGACAGGGACCAATCCTGGATTCGCCCGAATTATGACCCTTCCTTAAACAATTTGCACATAGATTATGTTTAGCTGCATCCGAAATTCTTTCCTGAACACTCTTTGCCTTAAATACATTGCAATCATAAATTCTATGTTGCTCATTATAAATTATACATGGATAAAAAATGTTACTGTGCGTTGGGGCCTTTAGGCATTTACCTCTTCACTAGAAAATGTAAATGTCTTAATTATTGTATTTGTATTTTGTTTATTGTACGAGTTTGATGGATTTCGTATTGACTGATTTGTTACGATAGATTGATTCAAGTACATCAGCACGATTGATTAAAAATTTGTTGAATTTTTGTAAAGTTGGAACTTCGTCACGTTGCTACGTTGTTCCTCCCATGTAGTAAGTGTACGGTCACCCAACTTCATCCTCAACATGTATATTATAAGTTTATAAGACTATCCCAATTATGTGTGGGTTACAAAATGATTTCTTATATTTACGCGAACACTACACATTTAAATAAAACTAGTTTTGCGGATTTTATCGCATATTGTTTTACTTATTATAAGCCAGTGCTTGACCACAATCCCACCTGTTGGTAAGTGGTGATGCAGCCTTAGATGGTAAATCGCACTGTCTTATCGTAACAAAAGCCTATTCACTCTTGCCTTGAAGACGCCCAGATTGTATTCGGAGGGAAAGATAGACGCCGGCAAATTATTCCACTGCTGTACGCATTACAAAAGACGAAGCAAACCGTTTGGTTCTAATGCGTGGAATATCGACAACAAAGGGATGAAGACCCGCCGACCGCCTGGTTGTCCGATGCTGGATCTGTACGAGTAGAGAGGCATGCATTAAAGTCTATTGAGAGGCATGTATCGAAGGGCTGCCACTTTAAAATAAAAGACTTAGACTTTGACGAATATATAGACATAGATTTTATAAATACTAATCTGTTGAGTCCAACCTAATTTCGTTTTTGTTTTCGCTTTTCGGACTAATTAATTAATTTCGACGATTTTTGTTTTCGGCCATACCACACCTCGAACGTGAAGCAAGGGAGGTTTAACTGCCGAGTTGACGAGGTCACGTTATCCACTCTTATTAAATTCGATATACAATTATTATTTTTAAACTGCACTAATACGTGAAGAAAACTATACTTTAGAAGGGTAAATTTTATAATAAAGAAAAAACACTTCTAAGATTGCAACTTATTTGTCTTTTATTTCCTTTCGTTTACTTATTTTTATATTAAATTACAATGAAGCAGAAGTCACAATATTTGTAAAGCCTCTGTGAAGCCAATTAAATTGTTCATAAGAATGTTACGCTACTGTACGCGTAACCAAGGGTTAACACAATTATCGCATAAGTTTAAAATACAAACGTGTACATATCGTGTGCCTAGGATTCCTTAGTCACGAGGGATTTGACATGCTAGAACTCAAAAAACGCGATAAGAACCCGAAAACTACTTTTATTCAATTAATGATTGTGTTTATTTATTTTTCAGGTTTCCACAACATGTGGACAGTGGATTAATTGAAGTTTTGGCTCCTTCGGCCTCTTATTATCCCGACTTTAATATTCTCCAGAAAACCCTGGGTGACTCTTTAAAGCGTGTGAAATGGCGCACGAAACAAAACTTGGATGCTATTTATTTGATGTCGTACGCTCAGACTAAGGGTACATTTTATCTCATGCTCGAAGATGATGTCATTGCTAGAAAGCATTATATGCAGGTGAGAAACTAATCACTTAATATTTTTTGTATGAAATACAATAAGTATACCTGCGTCTTTCTTAATCTTACTGTATATCATAATTAAATTAAATATTATTTATAATCTTTACAAAATGTTTGTACATATTTACATGTAAGTGCACATCTTACAAGATTTTTCTCTATTTTAGTTTTATTGCTTATAACATTAGAGATAAGCGAATGTTAAACGTCTTTACAAGCTTAGCGAAAATGTTTTAAATTATTTGACCCCCATTTTAAATTACGTGGCCAAATAACGTTCGTTCTCACCACATATAAAATGAGTCTCTGTATCTGGGCTTAATCTTTAAATAAAGAAAAAGTAAAATAACAGTAAGAAATAGAATATTAACAAAAAAAAAACGTCGGTTTAATTATGTAGTGCTACATTATTTACGCAGTATGTTAATGATACATATAAACATGTAACGAAACCAAATGCCCCGAGTCAAAATGATGGAATGAGAAGTCCCATCACAACACCGAGTAGGTACTTTATATGCATACCTGAAAAACAGAATAACGAAATCACACTGCAAAGCTGCACGCTAGTTATCTTGTAAAATTACGGACATTAGACAATATATAATATGAAACTAGCTGTTCCTCGCGACTTCATTCGCGTGTAATTTAGGGTTTTATTTATGTTACGCTGAACCGTAATTATTTTCTAAAATATAAGTAGCCTAAGTTACTCCTTATAACATCTGCTATCTGTCAGTGAAAGTGCCGTCGAAATCGGTCCAGCTGTTTCGGAGATTAGACGGAACTAACAGACGGACAGACTGACAAAAATTTTAAAAGCTGTGTTTTTTTGTTATAAGTAGGTACCGTAAGTGTTTCATATACATTTAATAAAAAGCTGTTATTTTTACATTACAAATAGATACTTCAATTTTATTTATTTGTATATATATTTATGAAATGTGCTTCATTCCATAATTATTTATGTAGCGATATGATTAATGAACACCAACTAAACCTGATATTAGCGTGTGAAGAATAAGAAAGCATGAGATGAAAGTTAAAGAGGAGGAAGATAGCACAGATTATTATAAAAATATAAACAGATTATGTTATAAACACATTATTTAAATATTTATTGCACCTGATTTTATAGACGAAACAATGTATGAAAACCAAGCAAAGTATTGACTTACTAGAATCGCGTACACATATTGCGTAATCATTAACAAATATACTTATATATGTATATATAAGTATATTTATATATATATATATACATATATATATATATATATGTATATATATATATATATATATATATATATATATATATATATATATATATATATATATATATATATATATACAAAGAGGATAGATGTAGATGTCTATGGGCCACAGCAACCGCTTACCATCACGTGGACTGTGTGCTCGTTTGTCACCCTATCCTATAAAAATAAATAAAAAAAAGTAGCTAGAATCGTGGTCAATTCAGAATCGGTACAATTATTAAGGTGAACAACTTTTTTAAAAAGGTGCTGACTACATGTTCTCCCCCGATTAACCGTAACAACGATACGACTTCTCGTTCTGTCTGGAGGTTGCGCAATGTAAAAAAATGTAAAAGAATGAGGAGATCGCTACCATGCTGTTTCTAAATGTTTTCATTGGATTTTTACAACGTATCGTATTGTAAATGAATATTTAAAAAAAAATCCCGCTGCGTTTTATACTGGTTCTCCAGAGATTTCTAAAGTTATTTTTTTAAATGTCTTTCCTCTATATTGAATAAAAATAATTCAATTCTATTTTGTTGGTGCATTCCTGTCATTTAGATGTAAGCTTATTGATGACTCTTCTGTAATAGCTTATATCTAAATGACACTTCTCTATAAAAATCCTGGGGACGAGAATAGATTAGATAATAATAAGTAATAAAAATTCCGTAAAAGATAATAGAAAAAATTGGAGCAAGATCTGGGATTGGGTTGATGACGACGAGTTTCCAGTAGAAGCAGAAATGTAAATTTGCTGTAGTCAATTGGACAATATGTGGATCAGCGATACGACTTGGCTGCTTCGCCTGGAACAAACCATTGTAACGAACGGTTCTGTTTTTATTCAGAATCTCCATTCTATTATGCGCTATGTTTTTCTACACCACTGAATCAACAGGAATTCCTCAGTAAACTATCTCCCGTTTAAAGCTAACAAACCCTCGCGTTGAATTAAATAAACGAAGTCTCGATTCTGTTGAACTAAGACGGTACGATATCGAATACGGGCAAGAAATTAAATTAGGATTCAATTACAGAGCGGAGTCGCAGACGATGAATTAATGAATCAGTTGCATCGAACAAAGTCAGCTCTTTACTCTTTACTCAGCTATTACCATGGCTCGTAGCAATTACATAAGTTTGAACTCTAGTTTAGGTTTTTATAAAATAACTAGCGATCTACCCCGGCTTTGCACGGGTGATTTCTTGATCTCGACAACAGCGCCCATACCGGGTCCAATTGTATATCATAACCATTCTCAAACTTAATCACACACACAAACACACACACAGCCATTTAGTGGTACTTTTGTCTCACACACACACGCGGACAGAAGCAGAATTTTATATAATTTTAAAAAGATGAGATGTTAATTTTGTTATGAATTGATAGTTGATTATTTTATTATTATAAAAGAAATATAATTATTTTATACGCAAAGGGCTATGTACTTTACTATTTATTTTTGTTATTTAAAAGTTATTTAGTATAGATATAAATTTTCAATGTAATAATTTCTTGAGTATATTTTTTTCTATTTATTTTTCTTCCTTAGGTCCTCCAGCGATTCTCTGGAGGTCCTAAGCACTATGCTCAATGACCTCAATAATGCTTCCCAACGGATAGGTCTTAAGATGAACATGGACAAAACAAAGATCATGTTTAATGTCCATGTCACACCTATGCCGGTAGTTGTTGGGAGCACTAAGCTCGAAGTTGTTGACGAGTATGTTTACCTGGGACAAATAGTCCGACTAGGTAAGTCCAACTTCGACCGAGAGGTCAATCGACGGATTCAACTCGGTTGGGCAGCGTTCGGGAAATTACGGCACATCTTCTCGTCAGGTATACTTCAAACCTTGAAAACGAGACTGTACAACCAGTGCGTGTTGCCAGTGATGACATACGGAACTGAGACGTGGTCCTTCACTGCTTGCCGGATGAGGAGGCTCAAGGTCGCTCAGCGAGCTATGGAGAGGGCTATGCTCGTAGTTTCTCTGCGTGATAAACACAGAAATGAGGATATCCGCAGTAGAACCAGAGTGACCGACATAGCCTAATGGATTAGTAAGCTGAAGTGGCAATGGGCCGGCCATATAGCTCGCAGAACCGACAACCGATGGGGAAGAAAGGTTCTCGAGTGGCAGCCTCGTACCGGCAGGCGAAGTGTAGGGCGTCCCTCTACTAGATGGAGTGACGACCTGGTAAGATATGCAGGTAGTCGATGAATGTAGGTGGCTCAGGACCGTGCTTTGTGGCATTCCTTGGGGGAGGCCTATGTTCAGCAGTGGACTTGTGAAGGGCTGTAATGATGATGATTTTTCTTGGCGTATGGCAGTAACCTATTCTGTTACAACAATTAACTATGAACACCAGGAATAAAACTTTGCTCTCTTAAATAGCAACAAACGATCTATGAAGTAGACAATCAATAGTCGCCCAGAAACAAATATGATGAAAATTTAAACCATTGAACATACATTTACTTTTTCCCGCTTGAAACGATAAAATGTTCTCGTTGATCAAAGGGATGATCGTCACATTGATTAGGATGAAAGATTTTATTTTTAGAATAAGGATGACAAACGAGCACACAGTCACCTGGTGGTAAGTGGATACTGTGGCCCATAGACATCTAAATATACTTATTTTCGAATAAGAATCAAAATGCAGATGCGTTGTCGTGCCTAAGGACTAAGATGGAATGCCTCGTCTCCAGTAAAAAAGAGACTCACGATACAAAACACAGCAGCATTATCGCTATTTCAGGTTGGTATTCAGTGAGAGTTTGGGTACACCCCCGGTTTTATTAACTCACTGGAGACATACGCTTTCATACATTCTTGGGCCCAGATTGTAAAAAGATGAAAGTGCTGTCAATTAATACGAGTAGCTTATATATTATCAAAACATCACTAAAAAATCTGCGGACTTTGGCAATCTGAGAGCAGAATTATAAGAGATTTAGTAAATGTGAGGTTATGCAACAAGTTGACAAAAGCCTATACTAAACAGCTAATTTTTGAAATTCGTTAGCTATTTTGAAAGGATCGTGGGTCTAGTGTATTACAGCGACTAGACGCTATGTGCCACAATTCACACAGCGATCCATTGAGTCACTATCTAATAGATAAAATCCAGGCCGTAAAATCCACAATAACGAGCCAAAGTCAAACGAGTAAACAAGATTATCGGTGTTCGGTATGTTAGCAAGCGTCGTACAAATTAAGTTAGATGAGAAGTCCGTAGAAAAAAAGCAGTGGTCGAGCAATAATATAAATCAATAAAACAACGGGAAAACTTAAAACACACGCGTACTAAACAATACAGGACGAGTGATCATAGATTGAGTTGAGTCAGGCAGGAGCTGTCACTGTCAGCACAAATTAAAAATACAGTTGACAAAAACAAGTATTAATCGAACTTTAAACGAGAATCGATTTTAAAATTTATTTTTATTATGTTGATATTTTATTTTTTAAACTGATAACACGATGTTAATATACTGTAATGTATCTATCTACTTTGATTGAATCAATCATCTGATGTAAGTTGTTCTTATGTTTAATTGTTAAACTCATTCACATTAATCGATTAAAGTATTCGATTTCCTATTTATTCGTGATATAAACTTATTTTCAAGATTTCTTGTCTTCCAGATTGTGAATTGGGCAAATATTTTTATATTTTGCAAATAGAAAAATATAACTTTTTTTTAAACCATATTTCTAC